CATAATACATCTCGCTTATGTGGCACTATTCGTTAAGTATATAAGTTGACACTGGAGATTTAGGAATTCGAACCTCGGCAAATAAACAAGTCACAAATTGTGGCCTACGAAAATTTAGCTTTGTCACTGGAATTCTTTGTTGGAGCCAGGATTGTTCCGTCTAGATCGCCCGTGGCCCTCTGCTTAAACAGTGCCTGCTTTGCAAGGCCAAAGCCGCGAACCCATAATTTTACTCATTTTACGTCAAGAGGGAACTGATTTCAGCCAAGTGAGCTGTTTCAGTATTTACTTATTTTGCCCTATGATGAAAAATAAGGAGGGGGCTTCGTCATTCTGAGGTCATATTTATGACACATTTATTACGTAAATATTATGTAATGGTATGATGTCAGTGTTACATCAAGATGTTTACGTCATATTTATGTCATATTTATTACGTCAGAGTCTGACGTAAGAAAGTGTGAAATAATGACTCTTGTATGACTCAAGTGTGACCTATATCTTACGTAAGCGTGACTTGACATGACATCATATTTACGTCATATTTACGTAATTGTGTTTACTGGGACCCCATTTGGTGTTTTTATTTGGAATGACTCATACGCGAAGATGGTCTGACCATTTAGACCAATGAAAATTTAACAGCAACAATAGTTCTAACCAATAGAAAATTAATAATAAAACCCTAATATAGAAAAACAAAGACTCAGCAGAAACGAGGTTTAATGCTTGGAAAAGAGTAACGAACTTAAAATATAAAATATTTGCACTACACGTGTATTTCTAAAAAAATAACTTATCCTAAATTACAATGTAAATGACCCTTGGAAAGGGGTGTAAAGGGACTTTACAACAATATCCATACATACCTATGAGTATTAATTTTCATTGGAATTTTATTTTAAGGATCTGTTAGCTATAGATATACATAACCATAAACTTAAACCGGTTAATTATAGTTTAACTTGACTTAGGGCCGGTTTATCAATGTCCAGATAAGTCTTAACTGGTAAATAAAATTAAAGTGGTAGCTAAACTGTTTATCAATATGCAAAGTTAAAAAATAGTTTAAAAAGGTAAAATTATCCAAAAAGCACCAAATATTAACTTCTTTAGTTCTAAAGTTAAATTTAACTAACGACGTTAATTTTACTATAATTAAATTCAACACTTATTACAAAATAAGGTTAATTTAACGTTGTAGTAAATTACTTAATAATTATTACTTTACTGAAAACTTGGGTTAAGACAATTTTGAATAAGGTCGTCTATTAACGATATTTAGTTGTAGTTTATCACTATTTTATGATTGTTAAAATATAAATATATCATATATATTTTTTGTTTGGACACTTTATTAAAACGTATCTAATATATTAGTCACCTTAATTCATCTTAATATCACAGATAGATAATATTATAATATTAAAATTTCGACATCGGTCAAATAAGAACCACCAAATATTTGGTGGTTCTTATTTAATCGTGCCGCCCCCTCATTTGTTTTTAAAAAATATAAAAAAACGTATGCCAAATTTGAATGTCCTAACTTATTTCCTTCTATTGCCTGTAACAACGAGAAGTTTTCCATATAGAGAATTTTTGCCTTTAATGTATTAATTTTTTAAAATTACTATTAATCTATAAAAAAGTATAATTTTTTGAGAAAATGTAGATGATATAAGTTACTTTAAAAAAAAGAAATCATATATTTGTATGCTAACGATGGACATACATGAATTCTTTTTTTTTTATTTAAAAGTACCATATTTTCGCTTTTTTTCCTCAAAAAATTTGAATTTTTCATTAATTATTAATGATTTTATAATAATTATTGCGCTTTAAAGCAAAAATCCCCTATATGAAAAACTGTAAGTAATAGGTAATCGACCGTAAAGTAAAAAAGACCTTAGAATGAAAATACATGATTTCTTTTTTTGTTTAAAAGTAACTTATGTCCTTTTTCATAGATTAAAAGTAATTAATACATTAAAGGCAAAAATCCTCTATCTGGAAAACTTCTCGTTGTTACAGGCAATAGAAGAAAATAAGTTAGGACATTCAAATTTGGCATACATTTTTTTTATATTTTTTAAAAACAAATCAGAACCACCCTAATGTAGATAATTTCATCAAGATACTTTAAGATTGTAATTTTCTCAGTGTAGGTCGACCATTGAAAACGCTCACTGATAAACGGTAGAACCAGATACTTGACCCTTGTGTCTGGGTGAAACGGACAAACAAATACATACAAATTTATCCCAAGGACGGCCTCATAGAAAACCCCGACGCGTCGGCCTAAAATCAACCGTTTTTTTGTGGGTTGGTAACGGCTGACGACCCACCATTTGGAAGATTAATTATAAAAAATGTTTGACCTTTTTATCATTTGACTTTGAAATGTTGAGAACCTATCCTAAAAAAAATTAAACATCCTTTATTACCTTGTTTTCTTTCTTGGACATGACCTTAATCAAATCTAAAACGTTCGTTTTTTTTAAATAATTTTCTACCTGTTCACCTTGCAACATTGAATAATTATAGGAGAGGTGAATATTTGTTTGCCTAATTTATCTTAAATATAGGGTGTTTTTTAAATTCAAATGGCATAACAATGCCAAGAAAGTTATTAACGCTAGAAAATTCATGTAATCCATTTAAATCGCTTTTATTATAATTAGTATAATAGTATACTAATTACACTTTAAATTTTGGAATAAATAAAAAATACTTTAATCTTCAAGAGGTCTATAAATAAATAAAAATCAGTTGTAAACAAATAAAAGCTTTTATGAGTCCAGTAATTTATTGTTAGGCGTCAGTGATTAGACAATTCCATTATTTACTGTGATTTGGTCCAATCGGGTTTTAAATTGGCAGAAACTTTTTCACCCCTCATATTCAATCATAAAATTAGACATTTGTCAGATGGTTTTAACCTTTTAAAAACTTGTAGGTACCTATGTGCAATTATTAAAAGTATAAAGTACGTACGTAGGTACGTACAATTGGCGTCTCCGAAATGTGAACGATTTTTTGTTGTCATGGATTTTTTTCATAAAATTTATTCGTTCATTCCTGGCTTCGGCCAGTGGTGTTACATATAGAAGGGAGAATACTAAGAATAAGAACAATATCCTAAATCGTTCTATTTTTTTAATAATATTTTAACAAACAATAATATAAACAATATAACAAATAAATTAACTTTAATTTGGTTTTATACAACAATATAAATTAACAAGTAGGTAAATACACAATAAAAATAACATAACTAAATTAACATATTGCTCAAGAAAATTGGTTTTTAAGTGAAATAGCGGCAGATTTAAATGTCAGTAAAAGCTGCATATTTTATATCAAAAAACGTTGGCAAAAACAACAAAGATTGAGAAGACCTATCAGGCAAGGTGTAGGTAAAATCTCCAACGAAAATGAAGACAATGCTCTTGTCACACTTATTAGGCAAAATCCTTTCAATAGCGCATTTAAGGCCCGAGAAGATACACAATTTCCAGGATCTCTTCGAACAGCTCAAAAAAGATTGAAACAAGCTGGCTTAAAAAACTGTGCTGCTAAGCTATTTTAATACTTAATTGCAGAGCCATTAGCTGCCACAACCCTTTGCAACCTTCTTGGCATGGACATTATTAGCTCACGCATGTCGTATGAATCAGCAAGCTCATCCCAAGAATTTTCAACAGCACTCCATAGTTCATCTCGGTTTGCTGGCCTAAAGTCCCGTTGATATATATTTTTAACTATAAAACCCCACACGTTTTCAATGGGGTTTAAGTCAGGGCTTCTAGCTGGCCATGGCAAAACAGTTATGTGGTTGTTGTTTACCCACTCTGTAACCACGCGAGCTGTGTGAACTGGTGCATTGTCCTGTAATATAATATTTATTAGAATCGTTTTTGAATACTATACAGTTTTCTTACATGTTGAAATATAAAGTTTTCTGGAAACACATGTCTAACTGAAGGTAGCATAACGTTGTCCAAAATCCTGGTATAGTGCTCAGCCGTTAATCTACCATCAATTTCCCAACATACTCCCGGACCATGGATGCTTATCCACGCCCAAACATTTATGGAAAAGCGTCCACTATTTGAGGTTTTTAATGTATAGTTCTCCTCAAATCTTGCGTTTCTTGGACGATATACACGCAGCCTTCCATTATTGCAAGATTGGAACGTTTTTTCATCCGAAAATATAACATTATTCCAAAAATCTTCTCCATAATTTAAATAGTCATTGGCGAACTGGACTCTCCTGCGCTTATTTTCTTCAGTTAAAAAAACCTTATGAGCAGCAGCACAGTTTTTTAAACCAGCTTGTTTTAATCTTTTTTGAGCTGTTCGAAGAGATCCTGGAAATTGTGTATCTTCTCGGGCCTTAACTGCGCTATTGAAAGGATTTTGCCTAATATGTGCGACAAGAGCATTGTCTTCATTTTCGTTGGAGATTTTTCCTATACCTTGCCTGATAGGTCTTCTTAATCTTTGTTGTTCTTGCCAATGTTTTTTGATATAAAATATGCAGCTTTTACTGACATTTAAATCTGCAGCTACTTCACTTAAAGACCAATTTTCTTCTAATTTGGCTATTGCCCTGGACCTCTGAGCCTCGGTTAAGTGGGGTGGCATTTTTAATATTGCAATTGACAACTATTATCAAATTTGACAACTACCGACGACACTGATGCAAAGCCAATATTACACGATTAAATTTTGCCGTTCACATTTCGGGGACGCCAATTGTACATTTTATGTATCGTTTGACAAATAAAATTGGGTTTAAATTTTGAAAAACATTACAACTTTTTATTGAAATAATAATTTAATTATCAATTAAAAACAGTTAATTTACAAATTTATTTATGTATCGTTTGACAAATAAAATTGGGTTTAAATTTTGAAAAACATTACAACTTTTTATTGAAATAATAATTTAATTATCAATTAAAAAACAGTTAATTTACAAATTTATTTATTTACGTTATAAATATTTTACCTATAGGTGTACTTAATTTAAATAAATTATAATAATTATACATTTAATTTTTGGCTTAGTTATCTTTCTTCAACAGGTCTAATGTTGGCATTGGACTGAGGTTTTTGAGAACTGCTTTTATCTGAAATATAACATAATAATTAATAATTGAAATCAGAAGGACATTGCATGACCGAGTTTTTTTTAAATTATAATTTAAATATATTTAAGCGGGCTAATACATAATAACTACCCGGGGCTTGGCTCCCGTGGTTCTAAAATAGAATAATAAAACTATACATATAAATTGTATGTAATTGGTCCCATTTTAGTCACGTTTCCGTTCCGTTTCTGTTCCTTACCCTTCCGATTCTAATGTTGTTCCATTCCCATTAGAATATAGTAGAAAAGAATAAAAAAAGTCGACCAATTTACACAAAAAAAGTAAAAAAAGCGCCACCCACCGTATCAGATATACAGTAACAAAAAACCCTTGAACCCTCGTGGAATTTTACTTCGCTCACGGGCTAGTTACCTAAAAAGGTTATCAACGTATCAAGTGGTAATGTTTTTTTTTAAGTAAAGAAAATGACCGCGAAATAATAATTAATAATACTATAGTACCTATAGATATAATATATTATTATTAATTAATATTTCGCGGACATTTCCTATACGTATACCTACTTAAATAAAAATATACTAAAATTGTACCAAATTGCATGTCTACGTTGTAGAGAAACTTCATCTTTTTTATGACTTTTTTAACAGGTCGAAGTTAACAGAAAGGTTTTATAAACATCCCAATATCACCAAGTTTAACATTTTCTATTTTTAAGGGGAAACACGTGTGTACCCATGCGCGCAGACATATAATAATCAATGGCTAAAAAATTAACAGCAAGGTACGATTAATTTACTATATCAAGCACTGAAATAAAATATATTGACCGCTCCCTGTAAGCATTTATACGAGGTGGGTTCAGAAAATAACGGGAATTGTTAAATTTTGCGGCTTCGGAGGGTCCGGTTGTCATAAAATTTTATTTATTATGTTGGTATACATTCCCCCAAAGTATGATAAAAACTTTAGCTGTTTTCATTGTTTACTTTGTCTGTGGCAGCCGCTAAGGTTAGACGTGTTTTATGAGCTCGGCGATTTTCGTTCGTTAAAAGAAATGGATCAAAGAAATTTGTATCCAATTTTGCTTAAAAAATTAAATAAATTCTGTGAAATGTTAACAAAGGCCTATGTGAGTCTGCTATAAGTAAAACAAGAGTTTACAAGTGGTATAAGAGTTTTCAAGATGGCCCTGAAGACGTTGAAGATGACGAACGCCCCGAACGCACCCCAGTAAGCACAGCGTTGATTTCAATATTTGACCAATCTCATTGATTCAATAGAAGTGGTCAATCATTGGGCAATAATTGTATGGTCCATTATTTAGTTAACTGAAATTGTATGTGAAGTCCCAATCGTTGATCAATCATTGCTCAATTTTTAGCCCATTCGAATTGTTAATAATTGATCAATTAACCGGACGTGAAACCGGGCAATTATTGAACACTCCAATACGAACACGGTACTCTGGTTGATTGGCCTATGACTGGGCAATTATTAAATATTAACTACATTTATAGCAAACATTACATATTACAGAAATATCTTTAATATCACCCAAAGAATTATCCCTAGGGATCCCTAAGGATGATTCTTTGGGTTATTTTAAGGATATTTTTGTAGTAGGTACTATACATTTATTTTAATTTAGTAGATATTTAATAATTGCCCAGTCATTGTACAATCAACCGGAGTACCGTATTCGTATTGAAATACCCCGCAATTACCCGGTTTCACGTTTCAGCAGATTTTTTTCAAAAGTAATAATTATTATAAGTGAACTATAAAGACGCATTGTAGAAATAAGACTTATTTCTACCATAACTAGACGTATAATGTCCAGTGTTTCGCTTGGCCGCATCATAAATTGAAAGTCGAAAATTAAGGTTTGTTTTGGTTTATAAGGCCGAAAATCGCGTTGTGTTTTAGTATATAAGGTCGAAAATCACGGTTTGTTTATAGACAACAATAATCCTGTGGATGTTGAAGACAGTTTTTGCAACCAGTTATAGGTCTATAGACCTATATAGTTGTTCCCTGTCTATTGTTTCTTGTCTATGAATCCATTTCGCATGCGCAAGTAAATTGTACACGTATTTGTTAAAAGAAACGTGCGTTTGTCCTGTGTGTGTCTGTTAACAGAAAATTTTCATAGAGAATACAAAATTGGTAAGTATTATTCTAATATTATTAGAAACCAGCCGCAATGCTGCCAAAAAGTTATTTATAATGGAAACAAAGAAGGGGCAGTAAGACTTGAAAACACAACCTTGAAGATGCAATTTATGGTAAATTTACATAAATTTTTTAATCGAGTTCTAAATATTTCTATGTTATAGCTTCTCTTGGTGGACGAAAAAGGTTTGACCTTCCAGAAGGAGACGAATTTAAAGATGTCGTCACAAAAGCCCTAACAAAGAATTAGGAATTCAAAACATAGATCTCGAGTTTGATTGGGATCACTTCTTGCCGGGCCGCCATTTAAGAAAGTTTGTTGATTTTTTTTTCATGTACCTACATGCCCATGCAATAATTGTAATTAATTTATTAGAGAATAAAAGTGTTGAGTCAAGTCATGTCAACTGTGACACAAATATTTATGAAAATTTGTAATGTTAAAATATTGAGATAGGTACCCTGTTTACAAAAAAATCTAAACATTTAAACAGTGAATAATATTATACAGGGTGGTCTAGAACTCGTGCCCCACCAGGAAAGGGCTAATGGTAACGACAATAGAGATGCCAAAACTGGTAAATAAATAGGTTTAATATTGACCAATCCCAGTGGTAGTCAAATATACAAAATGATGTGAACGAGTCTTAACATTTTACCAAATTTGCATATGTCAATAAAACTGAAAAGCTTCGTCAAACGAAAAGTTGTAAAACTTCTATTCGTTTTTGACAAAGCTTGTGAGTACTAGTGAACTAATAAATAAATACACTGTCAAAATGTTAAGGCTTGGTCAAATATATCATTTTTGTATATTTGACACCACCCATGGGATTGGTCAATTTCAAACCTTTTTATTTATCAAACAAAGCAGTTTTGCCATCTCCATTGTCATTACGAATTCTGGACAACCCTATATCCATAGTTTACATGTTTTGATTTTTTTGTATAGTTTTTTTTAACATTACAAATTCAGGATTAGTAAGTATCACAGTGGATATGGATTGACTTTTTTGTAAAATATCCTTTTTTTATTTTAAATATACCTTTCAATTAAAAAAACCAGCCCAAGTTGGCCAATTATTGCCTAATGCTGTATCACAAATTGAATTTAACAGAAATGGGCAATTATTGGCCATTCATTTATTTCTATATGATTGGTCAATAATTGCCCGTAAATGCGGACGTATCTGTGCCCAATAATTGCCCATTTTGAAATGGACAATTTTTGGGCAATTATTGAGAAGTTTGTGCTTATTGGGACAAGCACATTAACAACCGATAAAAACATGGAAAAAGTGGAAGAAATGGTTATAAACCATCAGAGAAGTCGCTGATGATGTTGGTATATCGATTGGCTCATCCCATGAAATTTTTTCAAATGTTTTGGGTATAAAACGCGTGACAGCAAAATTTGTTCTAAAATTGTTAAATTTTGAACAAAATTTTTGCCCAAAAACAATACTGTAATGATGCCCCAGCCTCCATATTCGCCAGACATGCCTCTGTCTGACTTTTTCCTATTCCCAAAAATAAAGAGAACCTTAAAGGGCCGTCGTTTTGCAAGCATAGATGAGCGCTGAAAGAACTAAAGGCTATCTCAAAGATCGAGTATTAAAAGTGTTTCTAGTATTGGAAGAAGAGATGGCACATGTGCATAATATCCAATGGGGACTATTTTGAAGGCGAAAACCTTAATGTAGACGAATAAATAAATATTTGTTTCAAAAAACGAAAATTCCCGATATTTTCTGAACACACCTCGTACTGTAGCATTGCACGCCTTTGATTCATAAAGAAGATGCCGCCTATGACTGGAGTTTGTAACTAGAGTCTACAGACCATACTTCACAAAGGCTTTCGATCCCGCACATGCGCTTTGGTTTATTAGCTGATCTACTGTTAATCAACTAAAATGGGCAAAAGTGAGCGAAACCAACCAAAACCAACCCAAACTCAACAACACAACCCAACCGACCCCGCCCCATTGACCCCCCCCACCCCATTGGTCAATAGAGATATAATATATGTAAGGGTAGATACATTTTATAAATTTTGAACATTAAATAATTTATATTTATTTAAATTATAGGTAAAATAGCGCAATGATAACAAACAAAATACCCACCAGGATGACAACAAAACTTTTTGACTTCTGACAGTAGATCAGCTATTAACCAAAGCGCATGTGCGGGATCGAAAGCCTTTGTGAAGCATGGTCTGTAGACACTTCTGAGTTTGTATGCTGTTTACACTGACTGCTTAGACTTTATAGTATTTTAATTTTACAGGGGGTCAACTGTCCCCTCTTGCCCCCCTGCCGCGGCATTCCGGCGCCCATGGTAACACCAGTGTTACTGACAATAAAATGCAACTGCAGTTTTTATTAAAAAGTATTCATAAAGACGATACTTTTCGACCTTTTTAGGTTTTTTATTTAGTTAATTATACATACATATGATAATAATTAATAATTATAATATACTAATTTGTAAATATAAAACACGTAAACGATCCTAGGAAAAGTAAAATAGGAATTAGTGTTTATTCTAAGAATTTGCATATTTGTTTATGATTTAAATGCAAAATATATTTTTTATATAATTAACCTAGCTAGTAACTAATTATAAAACACGTAAACCAACAATATTTTTTTTATGCAAAATCAAAACATGTTAGTTCTACCTACTATAATAATAATAATAATAATAATAATAATAATTAGCCAAAAAAAACAAAACAAAGGTTATTTTCTATGCAATTTTTGATTAAAGTTTATAAATTATTTTTATTTAAATTATTTATGTAAAAATACTTACGTTTGCTCAGCAAAATTTTTTCTAATCCATGAATAGGCGATTCGAAGAAAATGCATACAACAAATGCAAGGAAAAATGTTATTAATAAATGAGCCAGTATAATTACCAACTGAAAGAAATAAATCATAATTAATTCATGATTAAATGTAGTATTTTAGTATTAAGTTTGGTAGGTATATTTTTTTAATATTAAAATATTATTTATGCTCCTTAAGAAAAAAATTGGCAACAATTTTGGGAATATATCCTCGAATATTCCATTAGTAAACAAATATTTTTGTTTACTGCAAATATTTTCAGATTTTAATTGAGGTTTAATTTGATTAAAGTTAATAGGTACCAGTCCAAGTATATTATTTGACTTTTTATTATTTTTATAACTTATAGCTTAATTGGCCAAACATATACCTTCGTGAATTTTTTTGTCAATAATTTTCCAAAACTTGGAAAATGGAAAAAAAATCATTTGCTATTAATATTATACAAAATTTAAAAAATTATTTTAATGTATACATGTAAACGGGTCTCAGGGACATAAAAAAGGCAACTCCTTGAAACAATTCATAAAATATCTGATAAAAAAATGGTTTTACGCGCATTGATATCCAAGTGTTGCATTTTCTTTGTACCTTATATTATTATAAAAATATTTACCAGCTCATAAAAGTTCATGTAGCTATTTTGCCGGAGGCTTCCTGCGTGCGTAATGACTACGAGTCCATTGACCAAATATGCGCAGTACGTCAATCTGCTTAGAGGAATGAAAAACTTCCATGACAAAAAATTGCTTACTATTTCTGAAAAAATTAAAATACCCAAATTAGAATATATTTAGTGTATATGCAGAAAATATGGATAAGATTTATTGGCCACTTTTTAGCAAAACATAACCAAATAAAATCAAAGTAATAATGTAATATTCACATTCATGTTTGTTAAAACTACAAATAGTACAAATCTATATAATTTTTTGTGATCAAATTTACTTTTATAGCGTTTAATATTATTATAAAAATGAATGCTTGAAAAGTACCTAATAAATTATCGGCTTTATAGTATAGTATAGTATATTAATACATAATATATATAACATAATATATTATGACGCCCGTGAAAACCTAAAGCAGAACCGGGAAAAAATTGAATTTAAGAAAATATGTCGTACACGTTCACTTTTCCTTTACTTGAAAATTCTTCATTACATGTGAAGAATGGTAGATATACAAAAGTATATACAAAAGTGCTCTTTTAGTTCCACCTTTACTTCCTAAGAAGTCCCAGAAACCAACTGAATGGCTTGAGCGGGTTAGGGATAGGGACGGACCGCTGGCTTAAAGTCCCCTTCGAAGGACTAATACACAATAGGACAAACACAAATAAACAACCATACCATATTTCAAAATTTGGCAAACTTATGGGCCAGAACACATTTGATTTAAATAGTGTAAATCTCTTCATCCCATTACTAAATATCATGCGGTAATGAATCTGCTTTCCGGAAACAATTGACAATTTTTTACTGACGTTCCTAATTTCTTTACAATCCGTTTTCTACCAAGCTGTTTTAGATTTTTTATGATACCCTGATCCATTGACTGCAAGTTTTATATTTTTCAGTTTGTCTTCTACATCCTTTGGTTGAGCAGGTCAGTTATTAACAAACAACAAAATCTTCCTTTTTTGCAAGGCAAACTTTTTCTCTACCTTTAATTGCTTTGTATTTTGTGTTTGCTGCTACCGCCATTCTTTTTTGACTCCAATGGTTTTTTTAAGATGGTTAATAGGGTGTTATCGGTAATACTAAACTTGGTTGCAATATCTTTTTACTTTTTTCCACTCTTTTCTATCCCTGCAATAATTATTAACAAACCTTAATTCACAAATACTTAAAATTTCGCTTTGCCACTTTTACATAGAAAGAGATCCCTTATTATCTGAAAATCTGAATATGCTGCGATGTCCCTGTCCATAACTATAGGAACTTGCACTATTTAAAATTGAAGATACCGGTGACCACCACCTTCTATTAAAATATTCGAGTTCTGGAAAGTTGGAAAGCTAATTAAACATTTTTGGGTTCACCAATTTAATTACAACTAGCTAAACGACGAACTACACCAAAAAGTGACTTAAAATTGACAGGAATTTCAATAACAAACTATCATTACGAGGATCATTATCTGAAAAAGGCAACTATATACCTCGTATAAAAACAAGAAGTTGTAAAAAGGCATTTCTGCAAGAGGGCTTTACAAAAATAATGAGGATTTTCAATTTTTATACCAAAGAGTAATAAACTTTTTTAAATATTTCATGTTTTTTTTTTCAATAAAAATCTTAAATTATGACGTACACGAGGGAACGCATTGAGCCGTACAAGATGTCCACATATGTACCTACATATTGTGCCTTACGCATGTGAACGTAATATTGCTTGGATTATCGAACGGCATACGACGCGCTTTTGTGTCTGCTATTGGTAAAAAGACACATGTGCCAAGGCAATTCAGACTTTCGTCCACACTTTCGTCGACTAATGTCCGACACTTTATTTGCGTCTTAGCGGACAATAAGCGGACATTTACTGGTCACAAACGGTTAAAATGTTTGTCGGGTTTACTTTTGAACTGCGTACTAAAATAAAGTATTTCTACATAGGCTTATATTATAATATGAAAATTGTTATACGCTTCCAAAAAACATTTGGGTTTACTCGAATATTTTACTCATGCATTGTTGTAACAATGTAACAAGTACTGAGTTAAAAAGTGGAAATTCCAAAATTAATATGTAATAATACGACGTTTGTTTGTATCGAAACCAAAAACGTCAAAGAAAAATCGAACCATTTTTTTCAACGTTTTTTCACAAAACTCGTTAAAATAAATCGTTTTGGTGTTATTAAAGAAAAATAAGGTACCTGCACGTTATAATAATAATAATAACTTTATTGACGAATTAACCACTTTACAAATTTTTTTAAATACATACATTCATATGTATATATTGCAATGGTTCCGTAAAAATACCCCATTATTAATTTATTATAATACATGTTTATAAATATATTTTATTTTTAATTTTAAAATAGGATTAGGTTACAAAATTTTAGTTTATGGCAAACAAAAATACAATTTAGGTAGACAATTTGTCAAGCAAACAAAAGAGGTAGAAAAGAAAAATGCGCTGGTCTGGAGAAAGCGGACATGTAGCGAGCAGATTAGCCTGGAAATTCCACCCAGAGGTAAACGAAGAGAGTGTTTGAAAACGAAAAATAAGGGAGAAGCGTTTTAAACTTGGTACGGAACAGATCGTGTTCTTTGAATAAATTGTTAAACCAAATTATTGTTCTAAAATCATTGTTAAATGTGTTAGTGTATTCTACAAGTTTAGTTCTAAATATTTAATTTAACTAAATGCATTTACACATGTGTAGTAAAATTAACTAAACGTAATATTATGCATTTTTAAATTGTTAATATTATTATTATATGATTATTGCTATTATAAGAATATTTATCCTTCACTATTACGTTTAGCTGTATTTTATGTTATTGTTTAACCCTTTTCTTTTAGCTGTTACCACACCTATTTTCGCTTTTACTGTTAACACTACACTGAAAAAAAAAAGATTTGTTATATTTAGAATACCTATCATCTTGAAAATATTTTTTTAATTCAAGTCAGCTTGCTTTAAAATAAGAATATATAATTTAACTAAAAATATTTAACTTCTTTAAAAAAGAATTTTGTAGTTTTGGAAATATTCTAATATTAAGAAAGTTTTTTTGTTTTAAAAAGTTGTTTCAATCCAAATATTAAATATACTTGAAGGAAATCTTAGTTGGTTAATATTTTTTTATATCAAGAATAAGATATTCTTATTTTTTTATTTGTTTAATTTATTTATATTATAATTCTTATCTATAGATATTCTTAAATTTTTTTATTCGTTTTAATAAACAGTATTTTCTTTAGCCAAGAATACATATTTTTGAAATCGTGTAGGAGTGGAGATGCCGACACGTTCCTCTGAAATTTTATGCCTAATCATGCAGTGTTTCTTTCTCTTTGTAAGGGAGAGGGCGTATTTTATTTAAAAAAATATTAGAAGAGTGGTCAGCATCAAAATTGAAGGTAAGTAAGTTTTGATAGACCACCATTTTTTAAATTTAGCGTCGCATTTACATGTAGGTAGGTAGGTAAATTGTAGGTAAATTGTTTAAATATTTACTATTTACTAAGGATGCCTTAAAATTATTTTATTCATAAATAAATAGGCTTTGCAGTGATAACCAAAATATCTTATGTGTTTGGCCCTATAATTTTAAGTTAATAAACATAATTTATTTTATGTCATTTAAAAAGATTTTGTTTTAGAAGTAATTTTGTTACACCCTTTGGGGTATAACATTAATTTTGATTCATATAGTTCATTGGCAATAGCCGTAAACTATTTGATAAAATTGGTGAAATGAAAAATATGTCGATAATAATGATTAAGTTCCTACGTTAATTTATTATAATTTATACATTTTAGATTTTTCTTGTATTAAAAACAAAATAAATGTGTTAGTTCAACGTTTGTTTATTTATTTCTTAACCTAAATTTTTTTGCTTACTGCACCACCTAGAAACGATACAACGTATACTTGGCCCTTCAGTAAGTTTGGCTCAATTTTGAATAATCCTTAAGTATTTAAATATAAAGTTTTGTTCAAGATTAGACAACAATCCTTAAAAAATTACAGGATATTTAAAATTACTCCAGTCCCCTTCAAGTGTTTAGACGTATTTTTATTTTAAATTTTATTTCTTTTGCAGTAATATTCCTAAATAAAGAGATGTTTTTATTAATGAAATAAATAATTTTTAGTTAATACACGTGTCATTATTTAAAATTTTATTGATTTTAAATACAAAATGATACATTGCTAAAAGTAGCTTAAAATTAAGATAGATACATTTTATTTTTAACGATACTTCTTGCATTGTTTTAAAATAAATATTATTTTGTAATCAATGAAATAAAAGTTTAAATCTTGAATCTATTAATTAAAAAAAATATTGGGTTATAGAAAACATATTGATATAAGAAAATTATTGTCTTATTTCAATATCACATATTTTTGTTTTAAGAAAATTTATTCTTGAATTAAGTAAGTATCTTTTTTATTTAAACATACCTACCACTAATTTATTTTTAAAAGAACATATTCTTGTTTTAAAACAACCAATTATTTAGTTAAAGAAAATACATATTCCTGAATTAAGTAAATATAATCAAAGTTTTATTTAAAGAAATTTAATTTTCTTACATTAAGAAAAGATTCTTGAAGTAAATCAACGTAAATTAAGAAAATACTGTATTATTTTAAAGAATATATTCTCTATATGAGACAAAGATTGTTTTGGAATCAAATAAATTTATTTGATACAAGAATATTTTTTTTCATTGTATAATTTTAATAACTTGATATGCTTAACATTTTGTACCTTTTCTATAACGTGATTAAGCATTGTTTTATGATCATTCTAAATTTATTGATGTATTGCGGAATGATTCGGTGCTTAAACAGGATTTCTGACCGTTACCGTTAAACTTTGAGTACTATTTGTTTGTGTGCGTGGGCCTTTGTTGTATGTACTAATATTTTCTCCCGTGAGGGGAACAGGTTGTCCTAGTTTCTCTAGGGCTGCATCGCTTTTCCCCGACCATTCAACTAAATTAGGCGAGTTGCCTCTAGTGCGGACCTCGTTACCTCCTGGGCCTAGCCCGGTTAACTAACACCAATAT